CCCATTTCTAGAAATCTGTTACCTGAAAGTAACAAGGTAGCTACATGGACCAACACTTAGAAAGATATGTCACTCTGGTACCGTTTGTAGAAGCAAATACTTGAGAAAAGATCTGGTGGCAAACCTATGGCACATATACTACAGTGGGCTGTTTATATCATTGGAAATTCTGAAAGGTTCGCCATCACTTCTGTGTACTACTAAAATTAATTTTTCTATTGTAGAATATTGTGAATCTATAAACATATCCCATATACTTTAGCCAGGAAAAGTATGCTTTATATTTTCCATGGTAAAAGCAATTTATATACCAACAGTTACAGCTGAGTGTATGGGTATGTGTGTATCCATTCATCCAATCAGCTAGTTTTGTCTTATTTTGGCCAAGAAATAATGGTTATTTGGAGTAAAATATGATTGTAGAGATGACAGATAGAAATTATTTCAAAGGAATTGGGAGCTACATTTAAAAGAATTGTGGTTTTGAATCATAGAATTAATCTTCTAGGTCTGTTCTTGGTATTTTGATATAGATTGTATTGAGTCTGTGGATCTCTTTGGGCATTATGGGTATTTAAACAATGCTGATTTTTCTAATTTGTGAATACAGGGTATCCTTTTATTTCTTGGTGTCCTTTAATTCTTTCCATTGTAGAGACCTTTTGTCACTACTTACATTTATTCCTAAGATTTTTTTCTTTTGGAGCTATTTTCAGTAATGAACTAGTAACATAAATTTGGGAGTCAGTTGCTATGTAGCTGATAACTGAAAATAAAGATGAAATTTCCAAGACAGTTTTGGATAGAGAAGTGGGCCTAGAATCAGTCATCCACAGCCACAGTGTCAAAGGCTTGTAGAAGAAGATGAGCTGGTGAAGAAACAGAGAGTGTAGGATTGTTGAACACAAGGGAAGAAATTCTTTTATGGAGGAAGCGGTCAGTAATGACTGGAATGTTCTTGCACAAATGTTTGACTTAGTCTTCAGCAAAACACACTTAATGAAATGATGAGAGGGAAGCCATGTGACAGTAGATTGAAGACTAGAGGGAGGAAATTGATAATGATAAAATAATTTTATAAAAATTAGTATGATACGACATGGTTTCAGGAATTAATCATAAGACAGAGTCTGCCTGTTCAGTACAAATGCAGTCTTCTTTCACGTATTTTCCATTAACTGTCTTTTGTTAGTTGAATACACATATGTAAAACCTATAGATATGGAGAACTAACTGTGGTTGATTCAAGATAGAACTGCTTGTGATTTAAACATTTTACCTTTACCGGATTTTAAAATATGTATTTTATAATAGATTATTAGAGTTACTAAAGAGAATTCATCCAGTTTTGAACAGAGGGAATTTAACATAATGAATTATTAACTAAGCATAAAATTGTTAATTAAATGGTAGATTAAAAAGAATACTCTGAATATATTGTAGTATTGGCTTTAAACAGAAGGGCAGAAGGAAGAAATTTTAATTAAAACTTAGAAACATAAAGAAAAAGGGTGATGTAGAGGTGAAACTAGAACTTCTGATGAGAACATACTGTCAGGTTAATGCTGTTTCTGATTTATTTAAAGTCAAAGTTGAGGGTGGTGAAACTGGTTGGTTTTGCAAATGCTGACGACAAGTGTTAGAATTTAGCTGCTGTTACAGAAATGACCTGCTGTTTGCGCTGATATAAAAGTTTGGCAAGCAGGCCGCCATGTAGTCTGAGTTTCCCTGTCCACTTGTGCTGAGTAAACAGTACTAAGAAGTAAGTCATTGCTTGTATTCAAGTCATCCTGGTTGTGCTCACTGTATCAAGTGATGCCTTGTACAGATAGGCTTGCTTTTGCCTAATATTACAGAGATTCTCCAAGTTTACTATCTTCTGTTGTAATACAATCCACTGTGTATGCAGGCACCTGTCATAGGCCCTGTGTGGTCCCTGTGAGACCAAGGCTCAGTGGAGCAGTTGCAGTGGTTGCAAATGAAGTTGACACTGTTTTACATGACTAATAGTTCTTTTTCTGTCTGACCTAGTGGTCTAATGTCTTCTGCCAACATTTATGAAACTGTGGCAATAGGTATGAATGTGTTTCTGTTTCTTTGTGCTAACATTGTTTTGCAGTGACCCTTACTTTGTACTAAGAAACAGCTATATCTTTAAGGTTGCTTCTGCTTATAGTGATAATGAAAAATTCATCTTGAATATAACACTGAGAATTAAATGAGGGAAATAAGGAGTTAAAAGAGAAAATATATGGAGAAGGCCCAAGCAATATTTACTAGTAATACTAGATGACTTTAATGGAGGAAATAATAATATTTGAAATGACACTAGGAATGAATAAAAAATATTAAAAAGCTACCAAAGAGAAAAGGCCTATTACTTAGCAAAAAAAAAAAAAAAAAAAAAAAAAAAAATCTGACAGCAGAGTTCTCTGTAGTAGTACATACCAGAAAACATTAGAATATCTTTAAATAGCTGAGATAAAATAACTTTCAACCCCAAATTTTATATTAGCCAAACTATCATTTAGGAGGATGTAAGATAAAATATAAAGTTACACATTCTAGTTAATAAAATATTTTGAGGAATTTAATTGTTGAGTATAAAAGCTAATCTTATGTAATGCAAAATGTAAGAATATATTCCACATGCATATGTGTGCATGTGTGGGTATATCAAGAATATGGACTCTGAGGGCTGGAGATATAAAGGTCAGTGGCAGAGTACTTGCCTGGCATGGAAAACAAGTGAACAAAGGAAAATGACAATGGAGTAGTTTTTTCAAATATCGGCTTTTAGGAATCAGAATTGGCTTTTGTCTTGATAAAGATGCTTGAAAACAACTACTCCAAAATTGCTGGGGAAGGACAAATTATCAGTAATTTACTGAAAGTACAAAAGTATATATTGATTGATCGAACATTTTGACTCTCGAATACATTGTGCCATTTCTAACATCATCACATAGTACAGAAACAAATGAAATGACCATTCATGGAAGACTGGCTAAATATATTACTGTATATCCATACAAGAGGAAATTCTCTCTAAAGAGAAGAAGGCAGGTATCCCTTTATGGACTGATTTAGGAAGATTTCCATGGTACAGTAAATGAAAGAAGCAACTTCAAGATGAAATGATGGTTGTTCTATATTAGGGAAAGAGAAAACATGTAATATTCTGTGTTAGACGTGTGTTAGAGATTGTGTGTGCGCATGCATGTGTGCATGCGTGTGTGTAAAGTTTAACAATATCTTTTCTGGGAGGGCTCAAAAATGAGTTGAAAAATAGCTGGGAACCATATATACTGTTGGACTGGTTTAGAACAAAATACTTAGTAGATATTTAAGAAGCTTCTAGCTAATTGCATTGTAGAAAGAGTTGTATATTTGGAGGACATAACTGGATATTTATTTTGCTTTTTTATTTTGTTTGTATATATTATATACTAAAAACTAACATGTTTTAATGTGCTGGTCTCTCTCAAAATTGTTTCTGAAAATAGTTAATGGGCATTTGGGTGTTTTGTTTTTGAACTTTCTTACTATAATTGGTTACTATACATATTGACTGTTACTTATTATACAAGGTAGTTAAAATTAGGCAGTATGCTATTGGCCCATTCTGGTTGTGAAATTAAAACGCCTTCTATGTTGAAATAGTTTATATTTGTAGATTATTGTTATCATTTTAATATTTTATATTTATAAAAAGGTGTGATACCAAAGTATATGGTTAAGAAATACATCGCATTAATACTGGTTTTAGATAAATCTTGGTGCCTTTGCACTCATAGTAAATAGAGACTTTACTGTTTAAATAGAGAATGTGACTTGTCTTTACTGACATTTAAAGGAATACCAAGAGATCTGAATTTATATCTCCTTTTCTGAATCAGATAAGTCTAAGAATTACTGCAATTTTTTCTGTAGCATTTTTAATGTTAAAGTATATATTGAAGGAAATAATTATAGATGTATGAGTGTATCTAATTGCAAAACTGTAAAGTACTTTTTGCCTTATTTAATATTCTTGCAAGATACCTTAATGTCATATTTTTTGGTTACTTATACATATTCCTCTCTACTATTTTCCACTTCCAGTAATGTGGGGATGCTTTGTTCAATACATTTCCAACTCAGACTTTGATATATTCTAGCCTGTTAACTACTGATTACTTGAAAATTTTGGTAATATTTTGTCAAAAATAACTGTGCTGCAGGGACAAAGTGGAATACTAAATAATTGATCAATTAGGAATTCATTTGAGGGAGGGTAGGCTGGATGCATTTAGGACAGCATGTCACTTTTCCTAGAACATTCTGAGTCAGTCTCATTTTGGAGTCTGTAAATTAGTCTTCAAAGTAGAGTACAAACTACCTATTGGAATATGCTAAGCAAATTAGTAGATATTTTACTATCTGTATCTTGATAATAGTTTCAAAGTTTGGAAATCACTCATATTTCAGCAGTTTATTGTTTTGGTTACTACGGAAGCAGTAGAGAGGACCTAATGTTAAAACAACTCAGGAAGTAAGCTTGAACTGTGAACTCAAATACTTTTTCTTTTATTATAATGCAGTTAGACCTTGACAGAAAATGTTGAGATATAAACATATTTACAATCATACAAGGGCATTTATCCAAATGGGGTTACATCTTCCTTTTATTTTAATATTTAAACCTGACTATCTTGAATGAAAATTCCATACTGTAATGTCTGTTTTTGCCAAGTGAAAATACAAATGACACCAACATCAAAGCCATGTCTTTTCATTTCAGTTAACTGTACTTTCTGGGTTTTGCGTATTGGATTTCTTTTCTCAGGAGCAAGTTTGCATTTTTTCTAGCAGCTGTATGCTTTGGTAGCAATGAAAGATCCTTGTTGTCTTGCCTCCTTGTAGCTAGTATATTGTGGTGTGCATACTGTGAGATATAGTAGTAAGCAAAGATATTTGATGGCTAAAATTCATTAGTATTCTTTTTTTCAAAATCTCAGATATTCAAGATTAAAGCAGTGCAATTGGCTGAGAAACTCCTTCCTGCCTTTAATACACCTACAGGGATACCCTGGGCAATGGTGAATCTAAAAAGGTAAACTGTTAGATTATTTCTGTTTTGGAAGAATTAACTGATTTTGAAAAACCTTTTTACTCTTAGAAATTTCAAATGATCTGCCCCACCATGCTTTTCAAGCTTTAATTATGTTTCTCTTCATATATATGTAATAGAATATGGCTTTAAAATATTTTCTAAGTTTTTAAAAATAAATTCTTTACTTTGAAACAGGTCACCTCCTCTAACTTTACTCTGGTTTTTACTACTTGTTTCTTTAAGTGTAGATTTCTCTTCTGCACTGGTATGATCGATATTTGTTTCTTTTATTTGCTTATTAATTTCCATTTAGTGCTATAATAGATTTAGAGTACTTTCCTTCTCCTTTTATTTTTATATACTACTTGCTGATCTTGTAAGTCAAGATGGAAAACAAAGACTTACTTCATGGCATTGTCTTCATTATAGTATGTATGCTCTTAAAAGTCAAAGTGAACTCTTAAAGTATGTTTCATTCTAAAATAAAACACTGATTGATAGATGATTTGATAGCTAATTGATAGTAGATGATTTGTTTTCCTTGTTTAATTTTCTAAAAAATTTAAAGATATAGAATGAAAATTTGCATGATATTAGCATTTTAATTTGCCATTTGAATCATTTATGCTGACTGGAATTTTTGCTACTTCAGTGTTTTTCAAGTATTGTTTCCTTTGTGTTGCAGTTTGTAAATTATGTGAAAATTATACTTGTTTTCTTTGTATTTAGGCTCTCTAGAATAAAGTTCGAAACACTTATATTTGTGGAGGTGTTAATTAGTGACAACTATTTGAAAAATAATTATTTTAGTCATTGCTGATGAAGAATTTACAGAATTTAGATTTACATTAAGAAGTCAGCATTTAACACTGAACAATACCTCTAACTATATTGCTCTCTGATTTCACCCATTGTGTAAAACAAATTACCTCCTTTGTGAAGGAAAAGCTGGCGGAAGTGTAGCATGACCTACACTTAGGGATCTGCCAAGCGATGCGGTGCACACACATATTCTTGTTCATCACAGATTTCTGATATTTTCTCTAGTGTCATTGCCTGAGTCAAATTACGTAACTACCCCTGACCCAAACTGTAGTGAGGCTAACTCTCAAACTGCTTACACTCCTTTTGATTGTGTACTTCTTCCTGTTTAGTAAATCTGCCTGTGCCTCTCACTGATGTGTCCTGAAATGCTTTTCTGTGAAGATTTAAGAACCTACTGCGTGTGTGTTGGGGGAGGGAGGGAAATTGAGGTCATTACCTCTATGGGGTAACATCACCTCAGCCTGAAGAACTTTAGCATTTCTTACAGTGCTAGTCGCTGTTAAAATGAGTCTACAGTTTTCTTTGTTAAAAAGTCTATTTTGAATTCATTCTTAGGATATTTTCAGTCTATGTGAAATTCTGAGCTAATGTATGTTTGTTTTCCTGAACCTTAAAGGTGCTGTTTCTCATTTTAACCTTTGTTGTTTCTGATAGGTGAGATTTTGTTATCTTAATATAATATATAGGATTTATATATATCTACAAATGCTTTTTTTCCTTAATATTTATTTTTTTTTTTACCAGTTTAGGATGTATTCCTAGCAAGTTTTTATTCTGCCTCATTTTTTATTTTCTTCTGAAATTCTTTTATTGTACCTGCATTTTAGAACTTTTTATTGCTATTCTAGGCATTCCCTAAACTTTTTTTTAAATTTGTCAGTCCTTTTTTTATGTACTTCAGATAACAGTAATTTTCATTAATCTGTCTTCAGGTACACTCTTTCCTGTATTTTTGTACTCTGCTTTTAAGCTCATAGCTTTAAATTTTTAGAACTGTATTTGGCAATTTGTTGTTCTGATTCTCTGCTGAAATTTCATACCTTTTCATTTATTGTGAAATATTTACCTTTCTTGCATGGAACATAGAACAGATACTTGAAATTTTTTGTAATTCTCATCTCTGAGTCATCTCAGGGTTAATCTGAGTTGATTATCCCTTTCTTTGAGGCTGGTTGGGTCACATTTTGAATGTATAAAGACCACTGTGAAAGTAAAGTTGTGGAAGCTGTATTCTGTTATATTTTTCTGAATTCCCCTTCTCCCTCCATTAAAGTAGTAGTTAAAACTTCAAATTCTATCACAATTCATTTCTTTAACTGGGCTGTTTAGTGTGTATTTCTATTCATTTGTGATTCAGAGAGCAGACAGAAACATACGCAAAACTCAGACACAATTAAGGACATTTCCTCTCTGGCTCTTTCACCCAGGGTCCTTTTATCTTTTTACATTGCCACTAGCTTGAATTTTTCAAGCATATTGAATTGAAAGATATTACAAGATATTGTGAGCAAAAAAGAAATAATAAACTAGGAAAAATTTTAGTATCATTAATGATAATGACACGATAGGAATGTTATCCTTAATGTATAAAGAGCTTTTCCAAACTGTCAGTAAAAATACCCATCAGTTTAGAAAGCTGCCAAATATACAAACAGGTACAAAGAGAAAGGATAAATATTTTTTAAAAAACCTTGCCACTTCAGTATTAAAAAATTTTATCTAGCCATTTGACAAAAAAAGAGAATGATGTTATATAAGATTGGCATGAGTAAAGAAAAGAATGCTTACATAATATTAGAAACATCAGTAATTTGGGAGGCAGATTGACAATAGCTTTTTGAAATCTTGACATACATTCGCCACTGATTTTGTAATTTCAGTTCCAGAAGATTTACTTTAATGAAGTGAAGTGTATTTAAAAATTTATTTTAAGGAAGTTTGTAGAGATGCTATTTATATAAAAGATTCAACAAATACAGAAGTTCATGCAGTGAAGTATGATACAACTATTTGAAATGATATTCTGGATATGAATTTTTGAAAAGGGATGTTTATTATGTATTAAGTGAAAAAGGAACATATACAAGAAAATGACCTTATATTTTCATAAAATAAACATACTTAGCTTCTTTCTGACTCATTTCTAAGGGTGAAGTTCATTTTATTTGTACTGTTTTTTTTTTTTTTTTTGTACCGGGAATCAACCTGACAACCTTGTATTTGTCAGGTAGGTGCTTATGCTGCTGAGCTAAATCCCCAGCCCTGAGATTTCATTTTATTACTCTATCTTAACTTCTCTGTAGTCTACACAAACAATAATGAAATAGATTCCTTTCTCTTTTTTCCTCTCTCCCTTTCCTCACTTTCTTCTTCTATTTAGGTAGATTCTTTTAATTGGGAAGAGAAATGTATGTATTTTGTATATGTGTATTGACATAACATGTTGATTATGCACTATGTCTTCTATTTTAAACTCCTAATCTTTGAGGGAAACCACTATTAAAAGTTCTGCATTATCTATCCAAATATACACTTACATAAGCACACATCTCCTTGTATGTGTGGATGTATTATTTACTTGTTTTCACTTGAGACTGAGTCCAGAAAATAATTTCATATCTGTACTTTATATCATTCAAAGAGTTTATAATGTGATTATAAAAATAGTGTAACTAATTTTGATATGAACTTTTATTAATGAACTGTTAGATGTTTCCTAATTTTTTGTTGTCAAAGGATTCCACTGAAAGTGTCCTGAATATGTTGGGAATTGCATTGGATATGTGTGTGTGCATATATGTATATTTTTATGCACAGTGGCATGACTTTGATAAAAATCCTGGATCATAGAATTGTGTCCCTTTCTCTTATATTGACAGGCCCTGCCTCCAAAGAAGATATGATAGGTCTTTTGAAATTTTCATAGTAAGTGTGTGAGGATAGCTCTTCTGTAATATTTGAAAATGCTCTTAAATTTTATTTATTAGACAAGTAAAAACACAATCTTTTATCTATTACATACATTTTTCTTAAATGAAACTGGGTGTTTTACTGTGTTCATTCTTTTTATATCTTTTTCCCATTATATTTATAAATCAATGTATTACAACATCTTTTCTAGTGATGGGAATCTTTTTTGCCATTATTTATAGGGATTTTTTCTTAAATTTTCTCTTATCCTTTCTCAGTGTAATTTCCTCTTTTCTTTTTGTTTCTCTTTGTCTTCTTTTTTCTTCTCTTTTTTCCTTTTTCTTCCCTTTTATCCTTCCTTCTTTCTCTTATAAGGGGAGTAGAAGCCGATCTTTAACTGGTCTGGTGTGTTTTGTTTTGTTTTGTTTTTGGTACTAGGGACTGAACTCGCGAATTGGACTTTTATAAAAAGGTACTTAAATTATTGCTCTGATATTACTTATCAACAGTCCCTCCCACTAAAGTAATAATTTTATGATTAAATATAATAAAATATAAAAATATTTCTATACATATGTGAATCTGTTTTGCACAGTATCTTCTATTGCATCAAGTAGTATATTTCTTTTAACTCTTTTTACTTATTTAACCAGTTTCTTCGGTGTCACAGTTTTCAGATTTTGCTCTCCTCACATGTTTATTCTTTTCTTATGAAGTTTGCATTATTGGCTCTGGTTTTCTTCTATAACATTTCAGTTGGGTTTGTATTAAATTTATAGATTCATTTAGGGAAATTCTTATACTAAGTCTCTCAATGCGCTATGCTTTTTAATTAGTTAAATTTTATTTGTGTCAGTCAATACCAGTATAAGATTTATGTAGTTTCTGGACATTCCTTAGGTCATCTTAAACATATTTTAACTTTTTATGTTTTTTTTTTTTTTTTTTTTTTTTTTTCTTTTTGAGTACTAGAAAAAGAGGTGGGGGTTTAGCTGACTGGTAGGATGCTTTGCAAGCCCTAGGTTCAATCAATCATGAGAACCACACATACACACACACACAAAAAATAAATAGATAAACTGAAATACTGGAGAAAAAGATGGAGGAAGACTTTATTTAGTTAATCTAGGAGCAAGGAGGCTTAGCAACTGTGATACAAAAGCCTGGTGTACAGCCTGTAGTAAACCAAAGATTTAATGAAATACTAGAGACATTAATGTCAAGAGCAAGACATTTTAAAATATTTTTTACTGAAGGTCTTAATG